TGACTTTGGATTATGCAACGATTTCTTAGATACAACACGAAAAACACAGCAATAAAAGAAAGATAAATGATATCAAAATTAAAAATTTTTGTACTTCAAAGTTTACAGTCAGGAAAATGAAAAGACAATGGGAGAAAATTTTTGCAAATAATATATCTGATAAGGGACTTGTATCTAGAGTACAAAAACAACTATTGCAACTTGATAATAAAAAGACAGCCCAATTTCAAAATGGACAAGGGGGGCTTCCCTGGTGGCCCAGTGGTTAAGAATCCACCTGCCAGTGCAGGGGACACTGGTTTGAACCCTGGTCCAGGAAGATCCCACATGCCACGGAGCAAGTGAGCCCAACAACTACTGAACCTGTGCTCTAGAGCCCACGAGGCACAACTACTGAAGCCCGCACACCTAGAGCCCGTGCTCTGCAACAAGAGAAGCCACCCGATGAAAAGCCTGCGCACTGCAATGAAGAGTAGCCCCCACTCTCCACAACTAGAGAAAGCCCGTGCATGGCACCGAAGACCCAACACAGCCAAAAATAAATGAAAAAAAAAAAAAAAAGGACAAAGGATCTGAATAGACATTTCTCCAAAGAAGATTTACAAATGGCCTATAAGCACATGAAAAGACATTCCACATTATTAGCCATTGAGGAAGTATACACAAATTCTTAACCAAATATTGACAAGTAGAATTCATCAATATATAAAAGTAATTATACACCATGTTTAAATGAGGTTTACTCTAGGGATGCAGGCTGGTTCAGTATTTGAAAAGTCAAACAATGTAATCCATCATGTTAACAGGCTAAAAAAAAATTACATAACATTAAATGCAGAAAAAGCCTTTGAAAAAAATTAAACATTTATTCCTTTAAAAGAATAATTAATTAATTAATTTATTTATTTATTGGCTGCGTGTGGGCTTTCTGTAGTTGCAGTGAGTGGGGGCTACTCTTTGTTGCAGTGTGCAGGCTTCTCACTGTGGTGGCTTCTCTTTGTTGTGAACACAGACTCTAGGCACACGGGCTGCAGTAGTTGTGGCATGTGGGCTCAGTAGTTGTGGCTCGCAGGCTCTAGAGTGCAGGATGAGTAGTTGTGGCACATGGGCTTAGTTGCTCCACAGCATGTGGGATCTTCCCTGACCAGAGCTCAAACCCGTGTCCCCTGCATTGACAGGCAGATTCTTAACAACTGTGCCACCAGGGAAGTCCCTATTCTTTTTTTTTTTTAAACACATCCTTTATTTATTTATTTGGCTGTGTTGGGTCTTAGTTGCTGTGTACAGGATCTTTAGTTGCGGCATGCAAACTCTTAGTTGCGGCATGTGGGATCTAGTTCCCTGACCAGGGATCGAACCCAAGCCCCCTGCATTGGAAGTGTGGAGCCTTAGTCACTGGACCATTGGGGAAGTCCTTAAACATTTATTCTTGATAAAAACTCTCAGAAAAAATAGGAATAGAGGAGAACTTCATTAAGTTGAAAAGAGCACCTACAAAAAAATCTACAGTTAACGTTATACTTAATGGTGAAAGACTGAATGAATGCTTTCCCCCTAAGGTTGGAAACAAAGAAAGGATGTCTGCTCTCACTAGTACTATTAAACAAAGTGCGAGGAGTGGTAGCCCACTCTATAAGGCAAGAAAAGGAAATAAAAGGGATTCATATCAGGAAGAAATATTCTGTACACTGAATGTATCAATGTCAATATCTTGGTTATGACATTGTACTAAAGTTTTGCAAGATGTTACCATTGGGGGGAACTGGGTAAAGGGTACAGGAATCTCTGTATTATTTCTTACTTTAACTGAATGTTAATCTACAATCATTTCAAAATGATATGTTTAACCTTAAAAAAAATACAGATTGGCCCCCAATCCCTTTTGTTTTTATATGCTTTGCATTCTTAGCATTGCAGGGAAAGGTAAACACAATACTATTGGTGAGAGTATGAACTCTCCTATTCCGTGGTCCTTAGAGGGGCCATATTTTTTTAGAGCATGAGTTTTTGCTTTCAATAAAAATATCTCATTCATCAGGCATGATGAATCATCCAACAAGGATGCTGAGTCTCTGAGCTTGAGGCAAGTTTTGTTTTACATAGTTAATGTCAGATATCCAGTCAGCTGCTGGGGTGCTCTAGGAAAAGGAGCAAGAAATGCAAGAAATTGCCCTGAGGCCCCAGCAGGTGACAGCCGAATTGGGAAGGAGCTATTATGGTCAATAATCCTGGCAAGAAATCTCTTCTTCCGTGGGGTCTATTGGTCCCTGATATGTATTCTGGTGAGAAGTGGGCAGAGGAACAAATAATGATAGATTATGCAGTCCTGATGGAGGAAAATGGATAGTAGAGAACCCAGGCTGAGGATGATTTGTTCCCTTTTAAAAACATAATTTGGGGGCTTCCCTCGTGGAGCAGTGGTTAAGAATCCACCTGCCAATGCCAGGGACACGGGTTGGAGCCCGGGTCCAGGAAGATCCCACGTGCTGTGGAGCAACTAAGTCCGTGCGCCACAGCTACTGAGCCTGCACTCTAGAGCCCGCGTGCCACAACTACTGAAGCCTGCACAGCACAACTACTGAAGCCCATGCACCTAGAGCCCGTGCTCTGCAACAAGAGAAGCCCGCGCACTGCAACGAAGAGTAGCCCCCGCTCGCCGCAACTAGAGAAAGCCCGCGCGCAGCAACGAAGACCCAATGCAGCCAAAAATAAACAAAAAAAATGAAATAAATTAAAACAAAACAAAAACATAATTTGGGAAAGGGGTAACAGTTGCTTAGTGGAAGGGAATTGAATGGCTGAGGGACAGGGGAGGGGGGAGGCTTATCTTGATTTTTGTATTATGTTCATGTATTATCTATTTACAAGAATGAATAAACTTAAAATGAACCGGTGGCCAGATTTCCTATAAGCCTGTCTCGGAGAGTATTTTGCTCAGGTTTTTGCTTGAAGGTTTAAGTCCAGAAAACTGCCACCTTCCCACCTTTGCCTGAATCTACAGGTGCCCCCGGCATATAGGTTACACTTTTAAGTGTATGGACTGAGTGGAAGTAGCACTGGACTGAGAGTAAGAACACTTGGGTTCTAGTCTTTTGTCTCACTATGTAGCTGTGACCTTCAGTAAGCTCTTTCAACTATTTCCCCTGGGCTTCAGTTTCCTTATTTGTAAAACAAAGTTGATCTCTAAAGCCCTTGGTCATTTAAAGTTACTGCCTCATTTTCTGCTGCCCCCAGCATTTGAGAGTGGGTGTCTCTGCAGTACATCTCATATGTGTTGAGTAAACATTTATCCATTGGTTAACCAGGTAAAGGCTAAGAGGGGCACATAGAGGATGGCGAGGCGCCCCCCTCTCACTCTTCAGCACAAAGCAGCAGAGCGCAGTGGTTCTATGGGCCTGTGAGGTCCTTGAGACTACTTTTCACTCCCCAGCCCGATTCCTGCAGTACAGTTAGCTGGTGCTCAACAAATGAGTTAACGTGTGAGGGAAATGAATGAGAAGCGGACCAGGAGGTGTGCAGTTATCTAGCTAATTCCTGCAAAAAATTACAGACACGCCGCCTTTCCCTGATGCTTCAAGGAGACTGCGGGGTGTGAACCTCCTGCAGTTCAGAGGCGAAGTCCTTCAGATCTCCATCGGCTTCAGACAGCGGGCGGGGCTGAGGGGAGAGAGCGAACTCAGAGCTCGCCCGCCCCGCCCCTCGCCCGCCCCGCCCCTCGCCGCGCGCGCCCCC